CTGCGAGCGAAGATGCATTCAAAATAGACGCTTATGCTTCTTCTCTGTCTTGCTGCGCTCCTTGATGACCTCGTTGAGGACGCGCTCGCCCAGACCCAGACTCAGACCTGACGAACCACTCAGGTCGGCACCGATGTCCCACTCACGCCAGGCCTCTTCCCAGGCACTGCGTTCAGCCTCAAAAGTCCGTCTCTCCGCTGCGAACTGGTTCTCCTCAGCACGCAGCTGTTCACGCATCTGATCCGCCCGATGCGCCAGGTCGGCCTCAAACTCCTTCATCTTTTGATTCTTTTCGGCCACCTAAAAGATTGACAAAAAAAGAAGTTTAACTGCGAGACGGATTATCACAAGTGGCTGCCAACGCCTATTAAATGGGTCACGAATTTAACTCAGCAGCTATGAGGAAAATCATCTGCGCCAAAAGCAAAACAAGCCGCAAATTGATTGAAACCTGGGCCTCTGAGGAGAGCTCAATCAATAAATCTATAGATCTGGTGTCGGTATACAGATCCCTGTGCAGTTATCTCCGGATTGGCATCACTGGTGTTCTATTGGTCCCTGCTCCCTATAACTGTTATCTTTTTGTGGCCACTTTTATCTTAGTTAGTGTCCGAAGGCTCAGATTAATGAAGGCACGATTTCACTGAACGAATCGTTTTCTCTTTTTAATTGTGCATATACCTGGAATGCGAGCCCTTTGCTCTGACGTTCTATTCACAGATTAGTATATGCACGTTCGAGGTAGAGACCTTGGATTTGCAAGCTGTGAAACAGGCTCTTTTGTGAAAACCAGGACAATCGAGAAGCGTCTTAAAGGGAGTCGGGTGAGTTTCAGAACAAAACACAAAATTTCCTAATTGAAAATAAGGCAGTTGTCCTATGCCGTTGGTTGCTGGCTTACATAAACCGTTTAAGGTCTTTGTTAAGCAAACGGACAAAATGTCTTGGTATGGAACCTAAGAAAAAAAAACGAAAAATGACATCGAAACCGTTGTGAAGCTATGGAAGGTCGATGTACTGGGAGCAAGGCTAAAGGGATGACTTTTCGGTAGCGTCGGCGAATGAAAGGGGGATCTGGGCTCGAAAAGGACAGATTCCACTTAAAGGGACGCTGTTTCTCTCCAAACTTAACGCGCTTAGGTTGTTCATGAAGGAAAAGTATGTATTACTCATTGACTGGGTTACAACATCCTTTAGGTAAAAGAGGACACCGGTCGCGGGGTTTCCTTTTGGCACATGACTCGTACAAGTGGTCTAAGGACCACACGACAGGGAAAGCTTTTGCACAGCCAATGCTCTATCAATGAGCTACGAGACACAATGCGCGCCGTGAATTGAATCAGATTTGGGTCGATTTGCTTCCCTAACTTTACTGCACGTATGGGATCCACCAATACGGATACAATAAGCTGACTGCCAGGCAGGATTTCCTAAGTAGTCATGTAGGATCCAACGGATGGACTATTAGACTAACCTTGGTTGTTAGCGGTTTGACAGATTTCAATAATTCCATTGACCCATTTGTGAAAAATTCGCGGCCCTGGTGCCTGAGTCCAGAGCTAATATCAATTAACTGGATGGGCCCTACCGAACTGACTCGCAATGTCCATTTAGGTTGAGTAGGTGACAAACCACTCGAGGACACCTGTTCTAACTCTCGCATTTTGTGCTCAACAAACACCAGTCTGGTAGACTGACCACAAGGACATCAGTCTGCGGAGAGGAAAGATACATGAGGGGAGGGGGGGCATTCGCTACGCATGCAAAAGCATGAATACACTAGGAGGGGGGGAGTACCTTTTGAGCAAAGACGGCCTCCATTTCTGCCTCCATCTTGCGCATCTTCACCTCATGTTCCTTCTTCTCTGCCTCCATGCACATCATCGGGTCCTTGCCATCCACCGTCTGAAACTGGCTTTCCGATGCGATGCAGGACAGTTTGGCACTTCGGTAGTTCTCATAGTGCACGCGATGCGTCAGCTCACGCAAATGCTAGAAGATGGGGGAGGCGGGAGGAGAGATTAAAAACGATTAAATACCTCGTAACTGACAGGGGAGAACAATTTAATGGTGATAGTCGCAGGCAAAAACAGAAGCTGACGGATCAAGGTCCACGCTACGACCATTTTTTCCCCGCTCACCGTTCAGAGGGTAATGAGCACCTCGTACAGGTCGGTTTATGGTGGTGCGATCACCAATCCGCCAACGCGGTTAACCTCGGTCAACCTAAAAACCAATGTGGTCTAAAGAGATAAGGTAGTGCAAGAAAAGTGTTAAATACCACTGCCACTTGATATGTTACCTTATATACACGCAAGCCCCAAATACGAGTTTTATTCCACAAGAACGTATTTATGCCACCACAGCCGTTCCTGTTGAGAGAACTGGGATATCCTCACGATATTGTCGCAATTTTTCATTAGAGACAAAGTCTGTGAACTTAAGTACGTTAATCGTTCTCAGACAGCAGTGATGTAAAACCTACTTTTCGCTTGTTTATGTGCCCAGCCACGGAGTAGACTGATCGAACGGATGTCCGGTATACGCCGATGGTTGTGGTGATTGAAAAATGCTTCGTGCAGTTGGATTAGTCAATTATTTGGGCTGCAAAGCAACCATTTATTAGGTCATACAATTGTCTCATATCTGAAGGTCGTGTGAAAAGAGGGGACCTAACAGGCGGCGCGAGGTAAAACGCTAATTCGTGCCAGAAAAGCATAAGCAGAGTCTACCGCTGAGCTGACTTGCGCAAGCCTGCTTTCCGGATCTGGGTAACTAGGATTATTGAGTAGCGGTGACTCCCGCTGGATTATGTTGAAAGTAGACTCGCGGAGAATCTACCCCACTCTCTCACCACTCCCACATCGAACCCGATGTCAAGACACACGCACTCAAAGCCCAGCATTCATAACCGTAGAGGAGGACTGA